ACATTTGACAATAGAGGTAGATAGGGTGCAGGGAAGAAATGTGTCATTTTGTTGGTTGCTCTAGTAGTTTTGATAAGGCAGCATTGGGAATCTTGTTTGGGAGGATAACTGGGCAGTAACAAAATTGGAAAGTGGTGAGAAATGTGGTAAACACAAAAAGACCTGTGGTAAAAAATTGGCCTTACCAGATTTGAAACATCTCTGGCATATACAGAACTCTCTGGCCAATAAGAAGTTGAAGCATAGAGGTGTATACATGTTAATAGACTTAACAGGCTCTGGTCATACCCATATGGAAGCCTTTGGCATTAAGAGAACTCAGGAACACCAATATAGATAGAGCTGGTATAAGCATATGTAGTGGTAACCAGAGGCTACAACTACTGAGAATTACCATAAAAAGAAATGATAACACATCTGTTATTTCTGAGCCTCATAATGCCTTCCAACTATACTAACTACTAGAAATATTTGCGAAACATGCCTAGGGAGCCTCGTCACCATATTGGGAAGTATAGTCATTAGCACAGATCTAATCGAATACGTTAAGACCTGGGTCCCAAAAGTCGCAAGAAACTAGCTAGTTATGGCAGCATGCAGGCTTGAGATACTTACCCATTTGGGTAGAAGCAGCTGTATAGCTTGAGATACGAACTCCTGAAAAGTACGCCAAGTAAGGATTAAGGGAGAAATCACTCTGCCAGGCATATCAAACTAAAAACAATACGTGCCTACCTGGTACACACCAATTTGGAAGTTGAAGATAAAAGGTTTGTAAGTAATGTAGCAGCTAGGAAGGGATGTATAAATCCAGGTCAGCTGTATAGTAGGGATATAGTTGGCTCTGGTGGGTTTTAGCCATTGATAAATGGTTTGTATACCTGATATCCTAGTCTTAGTATTTAATATAATATATATATGTATTAGCACCATCATATGTCAATCATTTAAGTATTAAATAAAGTCTAAGTGCAGGTGCTACACCTTTATAATTAAAAAAAAAATTATAGTATTTTATTATACTAGTTTAATAAAAATTCTTACATGCCTTATTTATTTATTATATTAGTAGTAAAATATTGTACAAATTGAAATTATCATAATTTTACTCTAGACAATCATGGCTTCTATTAAGCACTAATATAAAAATTGTTACAAAACTTATTATATTCTAGTAATACATATTATGCAGTTAAGGTTGGGGTACTCTGTCTTGGAATTATTATGCCTTTTATTATTACTATAAAAATTATGTTACAAAATTTACTCTCTACTCTAGTAGCACATAGTATATAGTTAAGGCTGAATTAGTTTGTATTAGGAGTTATTAAAATTTCTATCAAAAATTGCTATAAAAACTCTATTATAGAACTTATCATTATGATAACATGCAATAATTAATAGTTCTATTAGTATTTATATTTATTAAGGATTTTATTTTGAGTAATATTACTAGGAATGAGTATTTGTAAACAGATTTTAATATGAAGGTAAAAATTAATAAATAGTTTTTTATATTGGAATGTTATTGAGTTACAAATATCATGTTATCTAATACAATTATTACTTTTATCATAATGTAAAAATGCAATAATTATTTATAATTATTATATGAGTTTATAAGTGATTTATAAGCAGATTATAATTAATCAAATAATATTCTTATCAAATACAATTGTATAATTCAATTTTACTAGAAATTACTCAGTGTCTACTCATATTTTATCAAAGATTAATAAATAATTGGATTAAATTTTATAAATTTTATTATTAATTTTTAATAATTATCAAATCAAAAAATTTAACTATATGAAAATAAAATGAATTTTTAAGTAAATAATAGATTAATAGATAATTATATTTATTAAGAATAAAAATATATAAATTTACAATGTATTTACTAAATTGTATTTTTAATATTAAAATTATTGATATTGCTACCCCCTGCAGATTTGGCTTTTTTTTAACTTTAAGCAAAAATATCTTGATAACTACTAGGCCAAATTTGACAAACAATTTTTTTTTGAATTCTATAGGTTTGTAGAATTTAAATAAAAAAAAGTTTATTGAATTTGGCCCAGTAGTTGCTAAGATATCATTGCTCAAAGTTTGAAAAAAGTCAAAACATCTATTAAAACAAACTATACAAAAATTTCTTTAACTTTGAGTAAAGCTATCTTTGCAACTACTAGGCCAAATTCAATGAATTATTTTTTATTTGAATTCTATAATCTGTAAAATACAAATAAAAAAAATCATCAAAATTGACGTGGTGGTTGTTGAGATAGCTTTGCTCAAAGTTTTAAAAAAAACTCAAAATGTATATCAAAACAAAAACTGTATCAAAATTTTTCTCAAACTTTGAGTAAAGCTATTTTTGAACTACTGGGCCAAATTTGATGAATTTTTTATTTGAATTCTATGAATTTGTAGAGTGCAAATAAAAAAAATTCATCAAATTTGGCTTGGTGGGTATTGAGATATTTTTGCTCAAAGTTTTTAAAAAATTCAAAATGTATTTCAAAACAAAAGCTAAAAACAAAAATTTCTCAAACTTAGAGCAAATATATTTTGATACTCACCAAGCCAAATTTGATAATTTTTTTTCTATTTGCATTTTACAGATTTGTAGAATTAAAATAAAAAAATTCATCAAATTTAGCTAGTAGTTGCAAAGATAGCTCAGTAAAGTTTGAAAAAATTTTGGCACAGCTTTTGTTTTAATATATGTTTTGAGTTTTTTTTAAACTTTGAGCGAAGCTATTACAACAATCACCAAGTCAATTTCAATAAATTTTTTTTATTTGTATTCTACAGATTTGTAGAATTCAAATAAAAAAAATTGGCTTGTGGCTATTGAGATATTCTCGCTCAAAGTTTGAGAAAATTTTGGCGCAGCTTTTGTTTTGATATACATTTTGGATTTTTTAAAACTTTGAGTGAAGATATCACAACAACCACCAAGTCAATTTTGATAAAGTTTTTTCTATTTGCATTTTACAGATTCATAGAATTCAAATAAAAAAAATTCATCGAATTTGGTCTAGTAGTTGCAAAGATAGCTTCACTTAAAGTTTAAGAAATTTTATATAGTTTGTGACCTAGTAGTTACCAAGATAATTTTGCTCAAAGTTTAAAAAAAAAGCTAAATCTTTAAGGGATAGCATTAGCAAATTTGGGGTAGCAATATCAATTCTTTAAAATTATAGTTATAAATAAGGTAGTTTATAATAATTTTTTTTGAGTTTAATTTTATCATTAATTTATAAATTTCAAATTTCAAATTTAAAGTTTATATGTTAAATTATTATAAGAGTATATTTGAAATTAAACATTTATAATATTAATTTTTAATTTTGGGTCGAAATATACAATAAATATCAAAATACAGTATTTATAATTTTATATAGATAAATTAACTTTAGGATTAGAATCTTATATTAGCATTAGAAATAGATTAGATTTTAAACAATTATATTTACATAAGTTTTATTTTATAATCAAATCTTATCTTTTTTGATTGCATTTGTATTATTATTACTAGAACTTTTTAGCAATATAGCATAAGCCTTATAAATTGTGTATATAATTAATCTTTCAAAATTTAGAATCAACAAACAAGTTTCTAAAAAGGTAAGTTAAATCATAGTCTATTATTGTGTTTACACATGACATAAAATTACTGAACCTGTTAGAGTTGATTTGCTATTATTATATACAGTGGGGGGATATATTATTGTAGACACTTTTTAAAAATTTGTACAATGCTAAATATGTAGGATATAGAGCTAAAAATTAAAATATAAATTCTTTCAAACTATATCTTTTAAATAAAAAAAAAAATTACAAATTTCTATACAACAGTTTTTAAAATAATTAAGTTTAAGTAAAAATTTAGATTTTTATATTAGTATGATTTTCTAAATTTTACTATGTTTTTATAGTAATTAAAATTACTAAATATAGTAATATATAAACTTAATTTTACTATATTTGGTAATTTATTAATTTTAAATCAAATAATTTAACTTTTAAATTTAATAATATTATCTAGCCTAAAATTTTTTAAAAATTTCTAAAAATTTAGAATTATATATAAGAATTAATCAATTTGTAACTATAGGTTACAAATTGATTTTATAACCATAAATAATATATTAATAAATAGTCATATAAAAATAGTATATGACTTCAATGATGTAATCGAAAATACATATATATAGAAAAAAATAGTATGTTCTTTCTTTTTCGTCTCAACAAACGCAAATGTATATACAGTATACCTTGGCCTCAAAAACTTCAAAAGTTTCATATCGATACTTACCATTGCCTTTTTGGCCCAAACACCTCAAAAGTTTCGTATCGATACTTATCATTGCTTTTTTTTTTACTGCAACAAATGAAAGAATCAATGTTAGTCCTTTCTTTTTGTCTCAACAAACGAAACTATCAATAGGATAAAGTAAACATATATACCTTGGCTCTATCGGTCTTATCATTGCATATAGTTCCTTTTTTTTTCACTGCAACAAACAAAAGGATCAATAGAATAAAGACAAAACATATATATACCTTTCAAGAATACCTTATACTAAATTACAAAAAACTTGCTGACTACATAATACATAAGATCTTATATCCACAAGCCTTTCGTTATATAGTGTGAAGATTCCATAGTACTTGCTGTCATGTATTGTATGAAATATTGATCTTACAAGGGTTTTATAGTCTTTTACGAAGTATATTATCACAAGTCAAAACAAAAAGTATATATACCCTCAAGTATAAGTTGCTAGTAAAGTCCAGGAAAATTATATGCTAGACTGTAGTAATACATCAATCTCATTTAAGTTTACAAAAAAAACTACAAATCAACGAATTAAGATGTTTGGATCAGGTATTCATAATGTTAATAATGTGCTATTGAAAGATTGAACTATTCATTAAATACAGAAATACTGCTTACTATCTTTCTACAAGCTTTTCAACACAAACTGCAAAGTTCACAACCTATATCAAATAGTGAAATATTACCAGCTTCTGATTTACAAGTTTTTTCTACATTTTTTGAACATTCACAACAAATAGTGTGATATTATCAATCTTTGATTTACAAGTTTCTCCTATACACCTTGTATATTTACAGCCTATGTCAAGTAGCGTGATATCACTAACCTCCAGTTCACAAGTTTCTTCTATATGCCTCATGTGTTCACAGCCTATTTTAAATAGTGAAATATTATCAGCTTCTGGTTCACAAGTTCCTTCCATATGCTTTGCATATTCAAATAGTGAAATATTACAAACTTCAGTTTCTCCTGTGTATCTTATACATCCACAGCCTATATTAGATAATGAGGTATCACCAGTTTTCGGCTTACAAGTTTCTCCAATCTATTCTATACAACAAGAAAATACTTTTGTTAATTCTGGTATATCAGACATGAACAAAGATTTAAACATTAACAAAAATTCAGATATGAATAAAGATTCAAATATAGACAAAGATCAAAATATTGAATTTAGTGATTAAGAAAAGCTTGAGATTGTTTCTGATTCAGTATTCTTAATTGGAAACAGCTTGATCGTCATATTAAAATGTATGCAAAGCAAAATAGCTTTGTATCAATTATTGTTAGATCTGAATTTAATGGTACTACCTGTAGAAGGTGTTGATATGCCTGTGAACATCAAGGCATTGATTATTCGAAAAAAACAGCTATTCTAGAAAGTCAAAGGCAGTCTCAAACAAAGTGATTAAGGTGTAAATAGTTGGTTAATGCAACATGTCCAAAATCTACTGAAAAAATTAAGATTACTTCTTGTTATCTTGAATATACCAATTATGAAATTCATCCTGACACTACTTCTTTTGCCCCCTACTATTGGCAATTCCCTGAATAAGTAAAAAAGGAAATTGAGTATTTTACTTCAAAGGGGTTAAGTATGCAAATGCAGCTTTCCTTACTTGAAGACAAGTACCCCGATATTCTTTTTTTACCAAGAGATTTATCAAATACAATATATTCATTTAAGCAATGTAATAATATCATTAATGAAGCATCTAATCTTTTGAAAACACAAAGCACAGGACCCGAATTAGGTTGTTCATTGGAAGTTGAATCCTATTTCTAATTCTTTGAAATTGCTTTTCTGGATGGAGCCTAGCTAGGTTGAAACATAGATTCACTATTACGATGTTATTATAAATGACAACATATACAGTACAAATTGCTTCAATATAGCACTTAGTCTCTTTGTGTGTATAGTTAATTATAATCAAAGCCATCTTGTTGCTCAAGCATTGATATATTACAAAACTACTACTAGTTTTGAATAAGTACTTTCTAAGCTTTTGGAATCTACCAAATGTCAACTACATGTATTGGTTACTGATTCCGATCTTGCAAATGAAGCCACTATTGAAAACATTATGCCTGAAACTAATAGAATGAACTGCATATATTACATCAGCCAGAACTTTCCAAAAAACCTAAAAAATAAACTTGGATCATACTGGGATGGGTTTATTAAAGACTGGTACAAAATGCGCAATAGTTTGTCGAAACAAGACTTTGAATCTGAATGGAATTTGCTTATTAGCAAATATCCAACTACAAAATCGTATCTTGAACGAATACTTTACAGTACTAAAGAACGATAGGCACTAGCCTGGATTTCAAATAAGTTTACTGCCGAAGTTCAATCTACACAACAGATAGAAAGTATTAATGCAATTGTCAAATCTAGTATAATAAGCAAAACTAGTTTATCTAAGCTTGTAAATATTTTGGACACTCATTTTGCTCGAGAATCAATGTATATTCGCTATAATAGTTGGTCCAATGTTCATGTTAAACCTACTCAAATAACTGCATCAGCTTAATTATTGCCCGAAGTTGATGAATAGCTTGCCGAATTTTTGATGCCACCTGTTTTATCTTTACAAAGAGCTGAAATAGCAGAAGCCCTTTTGTACAGCTCAACATTAATCTCTTAAGAAAGTGTGAATATTAATCTGTTTCAAGAAAAAAGTGAGTCAGGCTTTTATGAAGATCTTGATGACTTTCCAGCAATAACTATCAATGAAGTTATTATAAATTCACCAACATTATCTATTCAAAAAATTTGGGAAATCACTCATTATCAAGGATCTCATAAAAACTATGTTATCATACTTGAAAATGGTAACTATACCTGTACTTGCATGCAACTTATTAATCGGGGTCTTTTTTGTCGCCATTTTGCAAAGGTTATGACAATTTCTCAAGTTGCTGCTTTTCATATTCTTATAATTCTACACCGTTGGTATAAAGATGAACACTATTCAAAACCAGATGAATTACTAAAATCTCAACCACCTCTTACTTATAAAAATAGAAGTGCTGTTTTAACTTCGAACTCCACATTGGATTTTACTTTCATACACCCAAGTTCAGATATTTCTCTTAACACATCAAAAACACTTAATACTCGACATGTATATGGAATTACAAATAGTCTCTGTAAAAAAGCTATAGCTATTGGATTGGATGCTGGCTTAACTGCAATGGAAACTCTTAATAAGTTTTTGGAAGACTTTATTCGACAACATTCTGTAAATTCTGAACAACAATCAGTTACTAATACTGTTGCAAGAGAAAGTCAAGATGAAGAATCAAGCAAAGATGATTATAAAAATACTGCACCATTTGATGTTTCTACTGTTCAAAATTCTATGACCAAAAAGAAAAAAGGAACTCCAAGAGTTAAACATATTAAAGTTCTCTTGAAATGAAAAATACACAATCAAATACTAAGAAAGAAAAAGGTACACAACTTTGTTCTCATTGCAAGCAACCTAATCATTATGCCAAAACTTGTTCTGTTGATCTTTAATTATGCAATTATAATGATAAAGGTTAGTAGTTATATACTATATATATAGAACTCTTTCCGTCTATCACTTATATACAAATTTCCCCTAGTTTAATTATTTTAAAATACCTTATAACTTTTTTTCTTACTAAGTTAACCTTAGTTTCACTACTAATTAAACTTATTCTTAACAAAAAAAAACATATAATACTTGAATATTAAACTAAAAACTTTTAAAGCTATCGAGAAATGGTCAACTGGCCAATTTACTTAATATCTTTAAAACATCTATCTAAACATACTCTTTGAACTTAGAAAAACTTAAAGAGCTCACCATTCCCGTCATAACAAGCTAAATTTCAAGTTTATAGACCAAAACTGACAGATATAACTTCAAAAAACCTCTCAAACTCCCCTAAGTTTTTCTTCTCTTTCCCTAAGGTTCCTTTTACAAAAAACTCTATAGGCGTTTTCCGTGTAACACTTACTATTTTAGACCATACTACCCACGTTTTTAACTACACAAAATTAGTGGTTCTCTACTAATTACACCAATTTAATTTTAATTTTTAATTAAAATTTAATATATACAAAACAGGAAATATTTAACTAACACGAAGTTTATAGTTTGCATCTATTAAATTACAGTTATGCAACACAATTTGTGCCACCCTAGCCACACTAGCCACAGTTACACAAGCCGCGGTTACACAAGCTACAGCATCTATAATATTCTTTAGTATAATATTACACAAAACAAAATTTATACTGCCTCGAAGCTTACTACTACACCGTTTCTAATCTATTAATATCTCCAAGATACAATGCCAACTCTTATCAGTGAACTAGCCGATATCTTAGATCTTGACTATTTTTACTCGAAATGTAAAAATACTTACAGTATTGCACTTTTCGAGGGTGAGAGAAAAAGTCATATGAGACCGATCCCTCCTACACAAGCTCTATCAACCTGTCTTATCAAAACTACTAGAGCAACCAACAAAATGACACATTTCTTCCCTGCACCCTATCTACCTCTATTGTCAAATGT